CAAGATTTGTTTGGTCGAATTTGGAATAATTGAATAAGCTATACGTAATATTCTTTATCCTTAAAGTTTTTATATTTCATACAGCACAGAGCTTCTTAGATTATTCGGTTTTGTTTTATTTAACAGATATGCTTCTAAAAAGACGAACGATAGTTAAAGATTAGACGAATTTAATTGGACGGTTAAAAATTAAAAATCCTAAACTTCTGGAGGAGTTTCTTCATTATATTTCCTTTTAGATAAAGCAATTTTAAAGGGCTTTGACTCTACATTTGTTGAACGTTCATTTATGTTTCACTCGAAAATGTCTCGCGATGAGTGGAGATCGTCAAGCATCCATGAAATACGTCTCCCTACTGATATAATTGACTATATTAACCGTATCAATAATTCGAGTACTAACTCAGTTGGTGATTCGCGTATTAACGCTCGTGCTGTTTTTCTTCGTTTAATCTCTCCTTCGCAAATCATATCGATATTTTCTGAAGAACACGAAGTTTCGTACAAAGGGAGGTTTTGCACATTGTTTCTAATTCGTCCTTGTTCCTAAAAATCTCCTTTTCTCTTCTTCCACTGAGAGGAAGCGAAGAACGAGCAATTGGAACGTAGAAACAGGTGTACGATTTGGTTTGCTCTCGAGATTCAAAGTCTGTTTTTTTGTAAAATGTGTCCCACCTTCATCGAGTTAATGTAACGCGTGCGATGATTTTTCTTTTTTTCGTAGTGCTTTTTTTTTTTATTAAATCAAAGCATCGAGCAATCACCGAGCGTTTCTTTGTCATAAACTGAGACTAAAGTCTTTCGTCTGTGATACGGAAAAAATATACCAAAGAAGTATTTATCCAAGTCTATTAATCTGTTTAGTTACAATTCATCTATTTTTACGCACGGAGGGTAACAATTATTTTACAATTTAATATTTCTATGAATATTAACTGAATATATGGAACTTAAATATAGATTATAATGATTATAATATTATACTATATAATATAGTATTATGTATTAATAGAATGACGTGAGTATTTTTATATCTTTAAATTCCCCATAAATGCATTAATATTCTGCCGATAAAGAACGTGATTTAACCAAAGTTAGGTGTTCTGTTCAAAGATTCGATCGATATACAATTAGTCGTTAGTAGTTGGACGTTTCATGGAAATGCGTTGTACGTGGCTCCTCTTCAAAGGATGACTGATCGTAGGTTGAGGAAGAACACGTTTGTGGATTTATGGTTTCCCCTAAATAGGTCAGAATATTGCTACCATCTTGCGATTTATAAGAAATATTTTATTTTGACATAGAAGGAAACAGATCTGTCTGCTTTCCGAATAAAAAAATATGAAATATGACTATATTTCGCTGAATAAGAAGCACGGGTCTTCTTTTGGAGAACATCGAACTCAATTAGGGAAACATGATCTGCGATAATTTCCTTCTCTGTTTGAATAAAAATTATTCAATATACTATGGACTCGTGGATGTATAGCATGCACACTGACGTGACATGCTTATTACAGAAAATTTTCAAAGTGTACAGTGTAATTAGAATTCAATACAATCGCTATGATTACATATGACGAAGAAACAAAATT